TTTATCAGACCAGCAAACCTGGTCCCTTTTTTTTTTTAATGATTTTGAGTTTTGTTTCACATTGTTCTCCCACTCTATCCAGGATCTCCTACATAGATCCTCCTCTGAGTGGTTGACAGTGGTAGCCGGGCACCATCTAGTTCTGGTCTCATAGTCATATAGACTGAGGATTGCATGGTGTACCAGTCACTTAGACTAACTATTTCCATGCAACTTTTGTTTTCTTCATTCTTCTTTGCTCTGGACGAGGAGGGACGCATTGTTGGGTCTTAGATGGCCACTTGCAAGCTTTTAAGATCCCAGCTGCTACTCACCAAAGTAGGATGTAGAACAACGTTTCATGTAGTATGTTAATGCCAATTGAGCTTGATGTCCCCTGTGACTACGGTCCCAAGCTCCATATTCCAATAGTTGGAATAGGTCCAAATATTCACTCCTTCTGGGTAGCTGGCTGTGACCTAGAGACAACCTTGTCCCTTGTCAGCTCTACTATATACCTGGGAGTTCTTACAGAACTTATTGCCTGCCAACCCTATACATGTCCTTTAATACCATTGGCTCTTGATCATATGCTACCTCCTGAAATGGTTGAACATCAACCAATTTTTCTAAGACAGACTAGGAAGGATTTACTTCTGGGGAAAAAAAAAGAAAAAAAAAGGCCGATGAAAGCCTTATGTATAGCAATGGAACATTGTCTGATAAAGTGCCAGAAGATGAGCCCCTTAGGTTGGAAGGCACTCAAACTAAGATGAGGGAATAGCAGCCTCCCCAAGTAGAGCTGACCTTAATAGCATGGATGAGGTAAAGCTTTCAGGACCTTCATTTGCTGATGTGAGAATACTCAAAATGAGAAGATATAGCTGCAAACACTCATGAGCAATTGGAACATGGGATAACTGAAGTATATCTAGGGAAATTGGAAGTAAGAAATTTTTTTTGAATGGAATGTATATAAAGATCAATATTCTAGGCATTAGTGAGCTGAAATAGACCAGTATTGGCTATTTTGAATTGTATGATCATGTGGTTTACTATGCCAGGAATGACAAATTGAAGAGGAATGGTGTTGCGTTTATCATAAAAAAAATTTTTTTCAAGATCTATCCTGAAATAAAACATTGTCAGTGATAGGATAATATCAGTATACCCACAAGGAAGACTAGTTAACATGACTGTTATTCAAATTTACACACCAACCACTAACGCCAAAGATGAAGAAACTGAAGATTTTTACCAACATCTACAGTCTAAAACTGATTAAACATACAATCAGGATGTATTGATAAATATTGCTGCTGAGGCTTAAAGAAAATTAATGAAGAGCTTCCCTGAAGTCATACCTTGGATCTTTAGGCCAAGAGCTTAATTTTAAAAATCGTGTAAATAGATAAGCCAAAATGGCCACACCTATTGAAGGCAGCTATTACAAGGACTCCTCCTTTTTTTCTTTTTTTTGCCTTTTTCTTTTTACCAAAGTCCCATAAAAATGAGAAGGAATCTTGCACTGGTTCCCTACCATTTTAGATAGAGATGAAACTCAAGATGGTATGGTGGAGGTGGGGGAGTGGAAAGGGAGGGTGATTTGGGGGATGGGTAGAGGGTGGTATAACTTGTTCCTACATCAGAACCTTACTGCTACAGCTTTGCACTGGCCACCTCCTGACAAAACCCTTGCCAGTGTCCTCTAGAAACTGAAGTTTATACTGCATTGGAATGGGGTGATCAAGATTGGCTCAGGGATAGGAAAGGAACAGAAGACCATCTAGAAGTCTGGAGGTTCAAACCCACCAGCTACTCCTCTGAAGGAAGATTGGGCAATCTACTTCCGTAGAGACACCGCCTTGGAAACCCAAGGAGGGGTCTCTTTGAGTCGAATCGACTTGGTGGCAGAGTTTTTTTTTTTTTTTTTCCTTCAGAGACCTTTAGTAGGAAGACAGAGTGGACCAGAAAACCAGTCAATACCCTGTATTTATTGGCAGAGAGACAGAAACATTCACAGTAAAAGTCATAGATGACTCTTGGTAATTCTTTCTCTCCGAGATAACTCTTCCAGTTTCAGCCTCTAATGAGGAGCACAAAGGAATAATTTGAAAATTTTCCTTTTTCTTCACTTGCTGGTGAATGATATAGCCAAACAGAGCACATCAAAAAACTACAACAGGGTGAATTCTTAGAATCAGCTGCTCTAAACCAAACCAAATGTACTGCCATCAAGTTGATGCTGACTCATAGCAACCCTGGACAGAGTAGAATCATCCCATAGGCTTTCAAAGGCTGTAAATCTTTGCAGAAGCAGATTGCCTCATCATTCTCCTGTGAAGTGCCTGATGGGTTCCAACCACTGACCTTTTGGTTAACAGCCCAATGCTTTAACCACTGTGCCAGCAGAGCTCATTTCAGCTGTTCTGTTATTGTTGTAATGTGCCCTCGAGTCAGACCTGACTCTTAGCGACCCCTCCTTAGATTTCTGAGGTGGTATCACTATAGAAGAAATTACTTCTTCCTTCCGAGGAGTGGCTGGTGGGTTTGAACTGCCAGCCTTCTGGTTAGCAGTCAAGTGCCTTAGGCATTACTCCAGCTGTTCCAGGTGGTTACGAATGGTGCTTCCTGGAGAGCTGGCTGGGGTCAATGCTCCTCCCATTTATTACCTTCTTTACTCCTCCACCTCCCCCCACCTCCCACCCCCCACCAGAACAGCTCCACTCTGGTTTTATTGGATTATATGTAGAGCTTCTATATAAGCTTTTATTTAATTATTTATTTAATGGTTCTACAGCTAAGGTTTTGAAAACTACTCCTGTTTTCACTAAGTCCAAACCCTTTCATTATATGGATGAAGAACCTAAGGTCTAAGGAGACCTAGCCATGATCCTCAGTTCAATACTGTGCTAGATCAAGAGGAAGAAAGGAAAACAAGGGCTTGTATATTCCACCAACTTCCATATTTAGTCCTCAGTCAACTGCCCATTTTCTCCTTACTGTAATAAGAATTCTCAAGGACTATCTTTTCACTGCTATGGTCAGTGAGCTTCACAGAAAGATAATGCAAGAATCACTTGAATACTGCCACACATATATATAATTTTTGATGTAATTGTTTCTGGTTATGCTGATATTTGCCCATATAACAGGTATTTCCCAAACAGCAACTACAGGTAACAATTTATATTTAACCATCTAGAGTGCATTTAGGGTCCTTGAGTGGTGCAAATGTTAACACATTTGGCTACTAAAGGAAAGATTGGAACATCAACTTCACTCAAAGTTGTCTCTGAAAAAAAGCCCCAGAGATCTACTTTGAAAAGATGAGCCATTAAAAATCCTCCAGAGCACAGTTCAACTACTCTGACACACGGGGTTGCCAGGAGTTGGAATTGACTCAATGACAACTGGTGGTGGTGGTGGTAGAGTGTACGAGTATCTCCCCCTTCACTCCTGGTTTCTCTACATCACTCACAGTCATCAGGCCTCCAACAAGATCACTGGTGTGAGGATCTTCATCTTTGGTACCCAGCTGAGGGGAGTACAGTTCTGTGGTCCGTAAAATTTCTAAAACCCTATCCAAGGCTTCTGCTACTGTGACTGGGCTGTTTTCTTGGGCTGCATTGATTATATTTATGACCTGAGGAATAAAGAGAGAAAGAAAGAATAAATTTGAAAAGATTATAATTCTAATTCCCTAAAGTCATACATATGTCAGGAATCCAAAAAGAAATCAAATGATAGCACGTCATATTCAAAAGGACCAGTGTTCTCATGACACCACCCTCTTCTGACTGAAGCTTACTTTTCTCTTGGCTATTACTACCCCATCCTCTCCTGGTATTTCTCCTACCTAGGGACTACATTTTCTGTCTCCTTTACTGGTCCCTTCTCTTCTAAAGGTTGAAATTCCTCAGGTATCAGTCCTGGGCCTTCTCCCTCACCCAATAATCTTTCCACAGATGATCTGTTTCATGTCTATGAACTTAGCTCTGCTCACCTCCATGTCATCATCTTCTCCCCTTAGCCCTCCAAGTTGTAGACAACCTGACTTTCTTTCAAGTCCTCAAATGCCCTAATCCCCTCTTTTCTACTTCAGTGGTTTTTCACTTACTGTTTTCTGCTGCCTAGAATCTTCTTCTTCTAACCTCTTTCATGTTTCAAGTCTTAAACATTACTTCTCTATAAAGAAAGCTTCCCTGACCACCTGTCTCACTCTTGATTAATTAGGCTCATTTATAGAATACTACTGTTTTCCTTCATAGCACTTACAGCAATTTATAACTCTTTGTTTATTGTATGCTTACTTGCTTAATACTGTTTTCCTCTGCTGGACTGTAAACTCCATGATATCAATGGTATTTCATTCATTACTATATCTCCATCACTGAGCCCAGTGCTAGGTGGCCCAGGTTAGAGAGTAGAGGTGAAGGCAGAGGTATAAATTGCCACTCACCTTTGTGATGGGAGCCTCAATGGTCATGGAGTGGATCCTTGCCATGGATGGATAACGACGATTCTGTAGGCTTGGTGCTGGAGAGAAGGCAAGAAAGTTGTATCTGGTTCTGGTGGCTCAGCCTGTCTAAGTGCAGAAAAGGAGTCCCTTCATGGGCAGGGGACCTGATTCTCATGGAACTACCCCCACATCCCTGAAAAGCAATGAATTCACCCATCTCTGAATTCTAAAAGGATGACAGCTCAGCCACTAAGCCAAACAAAACCAAACTCACTGCTGTGGAGTCAGATCTGACTCATAGTGACCCCTCCTTAGGTTTTTGAGGTGGTATCACTATAGAAGTAGATTGCCCAACCTTCCTTCTGAGGAGTGGCTGGTGGGTTTGAACTGCCAGCCTTCTGGTTAGCAGTCACATGCCTTAGGCACTATGCCATATTTGCTCAAATCTGGAGAGGGTTGTCTAGCCTATAAAGAATGGGAGGAGGGCCCTATGAGTCCCAGGCTCACAGGAGGAATTTCAATGAAGGTTTGTAAGGCAGTATCTCTACAGAAGTAGATTGCTCAATCTTCCCTCTGAGGAGTGGCTACTGGGTTTGAACTGCCAGTCTTCTGGTTAACAGTCAAATGCCTTAGGCACTACGCCACCAGAGCTCCCCTGTTAATGGGATCCTATAATTCATCCCAACAGCCTAATGATCCTCTGGGACTTAGTTTCCCATCAATTACTAAAGCCCAACTTGGGCAGTTCCTGCTGATTAAGCTGTTGGTCATGTAACTGGATAACTGTGAAGTGTAGGGAGACATGGTTCAAGGTGAGGGTGGGAGGTGGAAGATTGAACCTAATCTTGTATGAATTAAGGCTAGTCACTCCCCTTTCCAAATCCTTTAGATTCTTAATGCTTATAACCAATGGGGCTTTTAACTCATTTAAAAAATAATTTTAATCTTTTGAATAGGTAACGCTTACATGTGGTTTGAACTTCAAAAAAGCAAAAACTTTAACAGCACTGTTCTCATCAGATTGTCCTACCAGTCCCTGTAAGGCTGGCAGGAAAGATGAGATAACTTAATCTAGCCAGTAACAACAGAGCCTGCCTCCTGCTCAGCCATTTTCGTGGTCCTCTCTTGCTGACAGCACTGCAGCCACCGCAGACCTCTTCTACACCCTTCTACAACCTCCGCTTCTTCTGTGCTCTTGAGAGATGGTGATTCCCCCCTTCAAACTCAACTTTGAAAATAGCAAATTTAGTTTAAGTTCCCTAACCCATTATCTTCTCCATCTAAAGTGTTCTGGTTTAGCTACACACTCAGCCCACCTCAAAATATTTTAATTCATATTCTCTCCTTTGCATTCTTGGTCCCAGTCCCTCACATGCCCTTAGGAACTCTACTCTCTGAATTACCCATCTTTTCTCTAGCTGCTTCAGTCCTTGATGTTTTATCCAATTCCCTCACATTCAGGTTCCTCATTTTGACCTGAAGGACTAAAAATTCCTTCATTTATATTGCTGTTTATTCCCTGAAGTCATCAACCCACCTCCCTCCTTTCTGTCATAGTCAGTAACCATCTGCTCCATATGCCCCTAGAATCTGTCCTTCCAAGTGCTAAATAAAAACTAAGTGAAATCCATTAGTCTGATCCCTGTTTCTGTAGCACTTAACACTGCTGCCCATCTTCTTCCTCTCAGTCCCCTCTTGTTCTTGTTGAGGTGACCCTGCCTTCATATGGCTCATTCCCTGCTCTTCTGTTCTTTTCAATGGCCGTTTACTCTTCTCTCACTGTGTGTGCACCTTGGAGGATGTGTACACTCTGTTCTTTTAATCACACACATACACACACACACACAAAGATGTTCTCTGCTTTCAAGGTTTCATTTGTCACCCCTGTTGTTAGGTGCCACTGAGTCAGTTCTGACTCATAGCAACTCTATATACAACAGAATGAAACACTGCCCCATTCTGTATCATCCTCACAACCACTGTTATATTTAAGCCCACTGTTGCAGCTACTGTATCTTTCTGTCTCATTGAGGATCTTCCCCCATTTCACTCACCCTCCACTTTACCAAGCATGATGTCCTGCTCCAGGTACCCTGCCCTCCTGATAACATATCCAAAGTACGTTAGATGAAGTCTCACCACCCTTGCTTTTAAGGAGCATTATGGCTATACTTCTTCCAAGACAGATTTGTTCATTCTTCTGGCAATCCAAGAATTCAATATTCTTCACCAGCACCATGAAAAAAAAGGCATCAGGTCTCCTTCAGTCTTTTTTATTAATTGTCCAGCTTTCATGTACATATGAAGTGACTGAAAATACCATGGCTTGGGTCAGGCACACTTTAGTCCTCAAAGTGATCTTTTTACTTTCTAACACTTTATAGAAGTCTGTTGTAGCAGATTTGCCCAATGCAATACATTGTCTGCTTTTTTGACTACAGCTTCCATGGGTGTTGACTGTGGATCCAAGTAAAATGAAATCATTAACAATGTCAATCTTTTCTCCATTTATCATGATGTTGCTTATTGGTCCAGTTGTGAGGATTTTTGTTTTATGTTAAGATGTAATCCATATTGAAGGCTATAGTCTTTGATGTTCATCAGTAAGTGCTTCAAGTCCTCTTCAGTTTCAGCCACCAAGGTTGTATCATCTGTATATCTCAAATTGTTAATGAATCTTCCTCAATCCTGATGGGTGTTTTTTTCAAATAGTCCATCTTCTCAGATTATTTGCTCAGTGAACAGATGAAGTACAGTGAAGGGATTCAACCCTCACACACATTTTTCCTAATTTTAAACCGCACAGTATCCCTGTGTTTTGTTCAAACAACTGCCTTTTAGTGTATGTACAGGTTTTGTGTGAGTACAATTAAGGGTTCTGGTATCCTGTTTTTCACAAGGTTATCCATAATTTGTTATAATCCACAAAGTCGAATGCCTTTGCATAGTCTTCTTTCAGCCAATATCCATCTGACATCAGCAGTGGTATCCATCATTCCATGTCCTCTTTTAATCTGACTCAAATTTCTGAGAGTTCCCTGTTGATGGACTGCTACAGCCATTTTAAATTATTTTCAGCAAAATTTTGCCTGCATGTGATACTAATGATATTGTTCAATAATTTCCACATTCTGTGGGATCACCTTTCTTTGGAATGAGCATAAATATGGATCTCTTCCATATTTATCCAGTCACTTGGCCGGATAGCTGTCTTCCAAATTTCTTGGCATAGATGATTGAATGCTTCCAGCATTGCATTCATTTGTTAAAACATCTCAGTTGGTACTCTGCCAGCGCCTGGAGCCTTGTGTTTTGCCAATGCCTTCAGTGCAGTTTGGACTTCTTTTAGAACCATTGGTTCTTGATCATATGCTACCTCATGAAATGGCTGAATGTCAACTAATTCTTTTTGGTATAGTGACTCTGTATCACTTTTATCTTCCACCACTCCTCTGTCAATTTGTCCTATTGTGGTAGTTATGTTGATGGTATTTCAAGTACCAGCAGGGTCACCCATGGTGGACAGGTCTCAGTGGAGCTTCCAGACTGAGACAGACTAGAAGGAAGGACCTGGGAATCTGCTTCTAAAATAACTGGCCACTGAGAACCTTATGATTGGCAGAGTGACACTGTCTGTTACCTGCAGGACTCTCAAATCCATAACTCTAGCCCTGAGGGTCAATCTTGCACTTTAGCTTCTTAATCATCTCCACTAAAACAAAATTCATCATCTTTTCCGTAACCCACAATGTAGACATACTTGGAGACTTCCCTTTTTCTCTAAATATTATTTATAATTTCCCAGGCACCTAGGAATGAAATGTTAGAATCATCTTTGACTTTCCATCTCCCTGGAAATCCAATTTGTTACTTAGGCTTGTAACTAAATGTTTTACTAAATAAATTCTCAAGAGTTTATCTGTGACATTTTATTAAGGGAAAGTAAAGGGATGTATCAGGGACACTGAAAAACAGGCTTGTTTTGGAAGTTGGGAAGCCGGGACACTTTGGTGCCCACCGTTTCTGCCACTAGCACCCAAGAGTGATCTTGGGCGACTACTTAAACGCTGAGCTGCTTGGATAGCTATGTGACCCCAAACACTTTAGGTTAAACAAGAACAAGCCTGGAGATATTTCAAAGAGAAGATAAAGACTGTTCAAAGTACTGGGATCTTAAAAGCTTGTAAGCAGCCATCTAGATGCAACAATGGGTCTCTCCTCGTCCAGAACAAAGAAGAATGAAGAAAACCAAAGATTTATGGAAACAATTAGTCCAAGCAACTGGTACACCATGCAATCCTCAGCCAATATGACTATGAGACCAGAAGAACTAGATGGTTCCCAGTTACCACTGTCAACCACTTGGAAGGTGATCTATGTGGGAGATCCTGGATAGAGTCAGAGAACAATGTGAAAAAAAAACTCAAAATCATTTGTGGGGAGGAGGGGATAGAGGGACCAGGTTTGCTGGTGTGATAGAGCCTGATGGAATCCCTGAGACTATGGCCCCTAGCTGCCCTTCAGGTCTGGAATTGAACCCACACCTGTGGCTTCAAGCCAAACAAAAGACAGGCATATGAGCTGAACATTTACATTAGGTAGATACACTTCTTGGGGAGATCAAACATGGGAGAATAAAAGGGCTGTGTGTGGACAGGGACATATCTCAGGGGGCAGGAGTACATGGAAGGAAGGACACAAGGAAGAGGTAGAGGAAGTGGGAGGGGAGCTGTTGCATTGTGGTAAATTGTAGTCAATATCATGAGACAAAGTGTATGTGAACTGCTGTATGGAAAGTGAATTTGCTCTGTAAACTTTCACCCAAATCACAATTTAAAAAAAAGACTGTTCAAAGTATACAAGATTTTTTTTTTTTTTTTTTTTCAGCCTGTTTAGTTGAAATCCTATTCCTTGGGGTTTATATGCTAATGAATTCTTGAACATATTCTTCTGTTATTTTCTACATTTTAAAAAAGGTCAGAGAAATCTGAGAAACTTCTTACCATCACTGCCTCGAGATGATATCGATTTCACATCAATGGACTCTTTCCTTCTGTTCTTGTATCTGAATGAATGAGACTCTAAGGATTTCAGATTATAAAGGGAGAGTTATTAGTTTTCAGAGTATTCACAGGTGATGTTCAGACATGTTTTTTCTCATTCTTCAAGGAAAACAAGCTTACTTTTTAAGTGCTATAAAATAATTTTAAACCACTTTTCTTTGTCAAGACACATAGAATTATCAGTCATATTAGTTGTGAAATGATTTCTTTATCTTGTGGCACCACATCACATCATGCTAATGGAGCGTATTATCAAGGGGATTCAGATCCTTGAATGAGGACCTTTTGAAAAGTCTTTTGAAAATTTAGTCTTTTGAAAGTAAACATTAAAACATGGGGATTTTTTTTTTTTTTTTTTTTGCTTTAGCAATAGTGTTAACGTGTTGCTATGCTAAAACCAACACAACTTTATTGCTTTTGAGAGTAATTTTAAAATTGGGAAACATGAGGAGAATTTTTTAACCAGAGATGATTTTTGTTTGTTTCTTTATTTTTCCAATTCATTTTGACCTATGGCCAGTCCATTCAATTGGGTGTAGAAAGTTCTTCTGGGGTTATGTGAGGAGGTAAACCCTGGTGAAATCCACAGAAATTTTGGATTTAATTTGAGAAATGAATTCATAACAGTTCTGGGCAGTCAGACCTCTGGGTGATGTCCTTGGCTCTCATGAGGATGTGATTTCATCAAACGATGCATGCTGCTCACCACAAGAAGCCCAGGGGAGAAAAAGCAGTGCTATGTCCCCCCAAATTTCCAGCAATGATGCCAACTCTCCCACTTGTCCCCATGTTTTGAGGGAAGAAAAGACAGTTTAAGAGATTCTGCATAAGTTTTGCAGACTTTGAATTTAACCCTCAAAATGTACTGTCACATTAATGCAAGATCTGAGAATATGCCATCAGTGAGAACCAAAGGATGATGAGAACCATCAACCAACCAAAGGTGAGAACCATCAGGGATGCAGTGCTGGCTTCAGCAACATGCCTTTTCGGGGCACTTGCTTCTTGTGGGAGTAACCCACAAGCAAGGAGAGAAATCTTAACCATGACACAGATTCACTCTTCACTGTGCTAAGCTTAGAGGCAGACATGTAGGTTTCAGCAGGAAGATTACATTTCTCAGATACCAGTAAATGGTCATATTCCAAGAAAGGAAAAAAAAAAAAAAAAGATGCAATATTGCTTTAGGAATTGTCTAGTGACACTGAAAAAGCCTAATTGTTAAGAGAACCAGCTCCAGAGCCAAACTGCAAAAGTTCAAATATCTGGTATGCCAACCAGTAGCTATAAAACCTTGGAAATGTTATTCTCTGTGTCTCAGTATCTATATCTGTAAAATGGGGATAATTATAGCATCTCAGTCATGGGCAGTTATGAGAAGTAAATGAGTTAATCTATACATAGCATTGAAAACAGCACTTGGCACATACTGAACAGTACATGTTGGTTGTTACTGTTAATGACACAGATGCATTTGCATATACAGCTTTTTAGATATACGTGAGATTGTGTTATGTTGTTCTACTATTTCATTTTATAATGTCTTAGACACTTTTCTGTACCATTTATTTCAATGTACTGTCCATTAGTTTGACAGAAAAATTTCTGATTCAATAAAACATGGTTACATCAATGACTAAATCTGGAATATTTTTATAGAGCATGAAGCGAAGGGAGAACTCATAAAATTCATCTGAACACCACAGCCATAGAGCCTCCTCTTAAATGATCTAACTTAGCAAAATCTTTTATTATCCTTTTGTTTAAATTTTTGTCTTCTAGATTCTGCTTCAGTGATCTTCTAGATCTTGAATATGTGTTTCAGCATTTCCTTATAGAGACATGGTACTTTAGGTGATACTCCAGAAAAAAACCCAAACTCACTGCCATCAAGTCAGATTCAACTCATAGTGACCCCTTTGGGTTTCCGAGGCGGTAGCTCTACAGAAGTAGATTGCCCAGTCTTCCTTCCAAGGAGTGGTGGTGGGTTTGAACCACCAGCCTTCTGGTTAGCAGTCAAGCCACCAGAGCTCCCTACATGGTATTAATAGGATCAAAATTTTTGTTTTTAGCTTATTCAGGGACTTGACAATCATATAAATTCCTAACATTCATCTGTGTATCAAATGACAAATGTAACTTATTAAAGATTTAAGATTAAATGCAAGATTACAGAACACAAAAATTTCTCAAAATGCTGTTGGGTGATGATTTTCAAGACTGGCCCAGGTTGGCTTGTTGAATTCTGAGTCATGCATTAGAGAGTATTCAATGGCAGGTGATGCTTATTCTTCCCAATTTTCTGCTAGCTGAAATTAAGAGGCTCTATAGCAACAGAAACAATTAGAAGTATGGAGATTATTCTTCAATAAAGGCTAAATAAGGCCATTTAACTAAAAATAATTCATTATTCATTCTTTCAACAGATGTTTGTGGGATGAATTAAAAAGTTCAAGGAGAAAAGGAGGATAAAGGATATTTGAATAACCATCCTTAATGGCATAAAAGGATAGCATGCCCCCAATTAAACAAAAAAAAAATAGCTATCACTTACTAAGCACCTAATACACTAGGCATTGTGCTAGGAACTTAAAATATAATTACCTCATTTAATCATTATAACAAATCTGAAAGCTGCACAGTGTGGTTCCCATTTTACTGATGAGAAAATTTAAGCTTAAGGAGATTAAGTAGATAGCCTAAAATCAAATCGCTAATAAACGGTAGAACCTGTACTGTCCACATGCAGTGGTTTAAATTCATCAGTGTTCTGTGAGTGTTTACTGAGTGTCTATGATGTGTAAGGCAATGCTGGACTCTGTAAAGGATATGAAAGCGCATACAACAGTTCTTTTGGCACAGCTCTTAAATTATATAGTCAAAATAGTGCCCTCACTGTAAGGGTTATAAGAAATTAACTAAACCATCTGAGGGGGAGGAAGTGAGGAGGGAGTTATGTGTCTTTATGTGTGAAATGTCATCATGTCATCCCTGGTTTTCAGAAAAGGGGAAAGAGGATACCTAGCAGGTGGATGTCAGGCACTGCTGGATATTAGATCCATTTTCTTTTAATCCTCATGTAAGTAAGATGGGTATGATCAACTCATTTTACAAATGAAGAAACTGAATCTCAGAAAGATTAAGTGAAATCTTTCTGAGCAGGTGAAATATAGAACATACTAGAGGCCAGGAGACGGACTAAATAAATAGCCCAGGGTTTGACTTTATGTAGTAGTGGCTGGAAGCCACCAACAGGGAGAGAATGTGTTAGCTGTAATACTTGCAGGAACAAGAACTATAAACCTTTGATAGTAGATTGATTTTTTTCCCTCTGATGATCAGAGAATTTCAGATCTTTTACATGAGAAGTCATCAGCTTCACCTCCTTCATTTTAAGGATAATGAAACCACGGGTGAGTCTTGCTCAAGGGATGAGGCAAGTGAGCAGGGAGCTGGAATGGAACTCAGGGCTTTTGACTCCCATGCCAGGGTCCATCCATGTTTTCTGACTATGTGGTCGTCGATTACTGCAAAGAAAGGGAAGACTGAGTGTGGTTGAACAACATGTGTCCACTGGACTTCTGGACACTCTAGTTTGGGTTTACATACTCTTTGTAGTCTCTGAAGAACCAGGAGAAGAAAACCAGGATGAAGAAGGCATTTAACAGAAAAGCTTGCCATGAATGAAGATTCAAGGAATTTTCAGGGGATTCTGTTTTCCTTTTGCTCTACAGCCTAAGTCAGCACTCAGAATTTGGCAGTCGAGGTTCTGGAGTGGTGAATGTCAATCTGAACTTCTTCAGAGCTATTTACAGACTCCAACCCACAAATGCCTAAGTGTATGAGAGTTAAATGGAAGTATTCTCACCTGTCTGAGAATTGTCTCCTGAATCACGATGAATCTTGTGAATCTAAAGTTGTTCAAAAGTTTGATAAAACAAGAGAAAGACATTGTAAATACAGTATTAGCTACATTCCTAGCCAAACAATTTTGTTAAAAAGCTCTGAAGACTTCAAGAGGGGAAGAAGTTGCATAGATAGTTAAGAGATGAAAAGAGGTACAGTAAGTGACAATGCTACTGATGCTCTATTAGTTTTGGGCACTTCTAGAATGGCCAAGCCCCAGAGCAGGAAGGTATCCAAGGGATGAACTTTCTAAGCAGGGCATCGAAACCTCCAGTTAGTCAGCTACTCATTTTGACAGTCTCCAGAAATACTGAAAGACAAAAGCTGTAACTAAAGTTTTAAAAAAAGTAATATATAACCTGTTTATGTTTCAGACATGTTATAACATTTTCCTGTAATGTAAAAATAGCCTGAATTTAAGCCTAGGATTTTAAAAAATCTTTCTAAAAAGTTCTTCAAATACCTGTAAATAATAAACCCGTTGCTGTCAAGTCAATTCCGACTCCTAGCAACTCTACGGGATAGAGTAGACCTGCCTCATAAGGTTTCTAAGGCCATAACTCTTACGTAAGCAGACTACCACATCTTTCTCTGGTGGAGCAGTTGGTGGGTTTGAACTGCCAACCTTTTGGTTAGCAGCCAAGCTACTTAACCACATGCCACAAGGACTCATTTCATCAATTATAGACAGAGTCAATTTACAAAATGCTTCTTCACAATGAGATCTGAAATTTAGATACAGTTTAACACCTAGTTTTCTCATTATCAAATTTTCTTGTGCTAATGATTTTGTGTTAATGCTCAATAAATGTCTGTTAAATGATGAAATGAATTCATTAACATGAGAATACGCTTTCTTTGGAGTTTGGCATTTCTTGTGTTCATAACTGATCAATACACTGTTATTGGGGGTGTATTTAGCTCAACCACACTTCAATCATGCTGCTTCACTGCTAAATGCACCTGCTTCCAGTTAGCTGCTCCAACATGCATAGGACGAGAGGGGTTACCTTGAAAAACAAGACAGGTGAGTGTGGAGGACTCTTTATGCAGGAGGATGAGCATGGCTTAGTAAATATCAACTCCTACAGCCAGAAATGCCACACATATCAGAAAGAGGCAAAATGTTCCAGCTTGATCTAACCACTGAAAAACAATCCTGTCAAGCTGAAGTATTAAAATACAGGTTTTCTATGAATTATTCTGCTCAGCCCATTCCACATTACAGGAAAAATTACATGACCAACCTGTGTGATATCTTGGTAATAATGTGCCTAATGGCTGTGACTCATTTATCCCATAATTATGGGGGCATTTTTATTTATTCTGTGAGCAAATGTTTTATGTTTTTCCTTTATGGATAAAAACCATTTACTATTATGCTGCTGAGCTCAGTATGAATTTTTGATACTATATTAAATGAATAAAAGTTTTGCCTTGCAAATTGTTTTCTCGATCAGCTTTAGCTCAGAAGCAAATAATCTTTAAATACTTAGCTTTTCTTTCTGAACCACAATACATCTCTCCTTTAGGAACAAAGTCCCAAGGCTCTCTAGATTATATATGTGTATTAGGTATGTGTGTGTATACACACACACACACATACATCCATGCATATAGGAGCTCTGGCAGCATAGTGTCTAAGGCACTTGACTGCTAACCAGAGAGCTGGTGGTTCAAACCCACCAGCCATTCCTAGGAAGGAAGGTTAGGCAATCTACTTCCATAGTGATACCACCTTGGAAACCCAAGGAGGGGTCGCTGTGAGTTAGGTCCAACTCGAGGGCAAATAACCACCACATACATATACACATACATATATATGTACATACATACATACACACACACACACACACATATACACATATATACACATGGAGCTCTGGTGGCATCGTGCCTAAGGCATCTTACTGCTAACCAGAAGGCTGGTGGTTTAAACCCACCAGCCACTCTTCAGAAGGAAGACTGGGCAATCTACTTCCATAGTGATACTGCCTCCCTTTCTCATCTTTCATCAGGCTAGCTGACTGAAATATGGGGCTCCTGAGCCTTCCAGGTGGACTTTGTATTCTGTCTAACGTGGACCAAAAACCAACCAACCAAATAAACAACTCACTGCTGTTTACCTTGGGTTTTCAAGGCAGTGTCTCTACAGAAGTAGATTGTCCAATCTTCCTTCCAAGAAGTGGCTGGTAGGTTTGAACTGCCAGCCTGCTAGTTAGCAGTCAAATGCCTTAGACATTACATCACCAGATGAAATATAAGTCCTGTAGGTCCACAGCCAACCCTGCCATTGGGAAGGAACTGTGCTCCCGCCACTGAGGGGAAGGAGGGAGCAGCAAGGAGAAGGGAGATGACAGGAACCACTTCCATCTGCTGAGGTGACTCTTACCTGTCTTCATGTATGATGCTACCTTTAGCACTTGCTAATCTGAAAATGCCACCCCTCCTTCCAGTCCCTGCCACCACCAAACTGGCATCTGCCTTTGATGGGCTTTCTCCAGGCATCTCTAGCTCCTTAACCATCACTTAACTCCAAGCAGAGATTCTGTGGGGCTGCGTCAGCATCTGCTGCTGAGTCACTTCATGATTCCCTTCAGCGAGAGCAGTGCCTGAGGACCTGTTGTCAGTCACACCTCAGCAGCGCTCGGCTTTTAGCAAAGCTTCATGACGGACAATCTATGTGCCTCTTCCAAATACCCCACTTTACAGCTAAAGATTCACTTGGATGAAAAAATTCTTTGAGAATTAGAATTTTCTTCTGGAGATCTAAACCTACCAGTCATTCATAACTCTGTATGAATTATTCCACTAAAATTATTTTCCTCATAATACTTAACTGAACTCACTGAGAACACAGAGAATGAGTGGTTTTGTAATTTGGTATTCTCTGGGGTGGGCAGCCAGAAGAGGCTTATGGGCCGGAGGACTGCTGGGAGAGAAGGTCTTCTGAAAGTGGAAGACCTTAAGGATAAGCTTTGCCCGGTGATGCTAACAGCTATCTCTTACATGCTTCCCCTGTGCTAACAACTTGACATTTGTAATGTCTAATTATTGCAACACCCTTGCAAGGTAGATAGTGTCCTCTTCCCTTCTGATAGACAAGGAGGCTATGGTGTGGAGGGGTTAAGTGACCCGTCTAGGCCACACAGCTAGGATGTGGCAGAGCCCAATTTCAAATGGTCTCTAGCTCCAGAATCATTCCCTCTTAACCACACTGCTGCTACAATGTGGCCTTGAGAGGAAAGCCCTCAGCCTGTGCTTTTAAAAGGCGGTATCTGCGGAAGGTTTGCATCTCTGTTATCAAAAGGCTTTGTCACATGCATGTTACAGAAAAGAAAGGGGAAGATCAGAATTCAGTGTCCTCCGTCAATCAATGTCTCTGTTGTGTGGGTTTTTGTTTGCTGTTCCTTTTGTGAAAGCTTAAGGTGCTGAATATTTTATGTACAGTAAAAACAAAAACAAACTCACTGCTGTTGTGTCAATTCCAACTCATAGCAACCCCTCTTGGGTTTCTGAGGCAGTAAAACTTTACGAAAGTAGATTGCCCAGTCTCTCTTCCACGGAGTGGCTGGTGGGTTTGAACCACCAACCTTCTGGTTAGCAGTCAAATGCCTTAGGCACTATGCCACCAGAGCTCCTTTATGTACAGTAGTAACTGGGCATCTGATATTGTGTGCTACTGGGGAAGCTGGAGGCTTTAGTACCACAATCTCTGCAATGTGAGCACTGGTGTCCTGGTCGATGAAGCGCTCTCTGGAGCTCAAAGCTGTGATTTCTCAGCAAGCTCTAAATACTAAGTTTGTTTTTAGAAAAACAAATTCATGATTGTAAACCCTTATTTAAAATATTACAGGTGCTCACAAATCTCACCAGTGCCCTCCGCTCAAATGCTTTCTTTAAAAACACTTGATTATGCTCGTCTCTGAAAAGCACTAGAAGTTCTGTGTGTGTTTGTAAGATTTCAGGGTCATTTGTTTGTTTTCCTCTTAAAGAATAATCATTTTAAAAGTCTATTTTCTCCACACATTCACCAGAATGGCTAAAATTAAAAAGACTGACTCCACCAAATTTTGTCAAGGATATGGAGCAACTGGAAATTTCATACATTTCTGCTATGAGTAGAATATTGTATAACCACTTTGGGAAAAGGTCTGGCAGTTTCTCATGAAACACCTACTCTAGGGCCCAACAGTTCCACTCTTGAGTATTTCCCCAAGATAAATGAAAGAATATATACACAAAAAGAATTGTCTAAGAATGTTCAAAACATCCCCCAACTGGAAACAGCCAGAGCTCATTAACAGAAGAAATGCACTCTGGGTGATTGACACAATAGAATACTAATCAGCAACAAAAAGGAAAGAAATCACTGACACATAGAAGAACCTCAGCAATATAAGGAGGAATGAAAGAGGCCAGACATGAAAAGTACACACTGCATGAAGCTCTGAAAAGTGCAAAAGCAATCTATAACTCAGAACAGAGGTTGCCTCTGGGGGCAGGAAAGGTGACAGTGGAGATAGGGATGGACTGGGAATGGGGCTGAGAAATTCTGGGATGGTAAGTTTCTGCATCTTAATAGGGTGGTTATGTTTTTGTGTCAACTTGGCTAGGCCTGGTTGGGTGGCTGGGCAGCTGGATGTAGTATTCCCCATGACGAGACTGGTAATCAACTCCATGGTGGAATCTATTATGAGCAGCTGAGTAGCTGCCTTTGGGTATGTGGTCTGCTTCCTGTATATAAGGAGAAGCTTTGAGAAAGGTCTCTAGCATATGGCACGCTTAGACTCTGCATGTAGCCGTGTTGTTGTTCAGCGGCCTGCTATGCTCTGCCAACCTTGGGACTTACAATGGACTTAAGTTAATGGCCTGCCGTGTGGTTTGGTAACATCGGAACTGTGTCTTTTTACTTGTCAACCTTGGGGCTTCTCAGCCTCAGCAGCTGTCTGAGTGAAGAAATGCCTCTAGCTCCAGTGGGCCGGGAGCAGGAGACAGAGCTGGA